CCCTAAAACCCTGAAACCCAAAACCCGAAAGGTCCTGAGCTGCTGGACCTCCATGAGAATGCTCTGTAACGTGCTTTTGAGGTCGGTGGCCTCGGCAGCGACGGCGTAGAAAGGGGGAGACGGTTTCGGATTTTCGACTCCAAGGCATGAGTCAGTAAGTCAGAAAGTATATAGGTAAGTAAGCAAACATGCAGTCGTCTATGTATACATTTAGTGTGTATATATATATATAAACACACGCTTCCATGTATGTTGACTGGCACATTCAGTTATTGACGCATTCGTGTATTTATTTGAGAAAGACAGTCCGCGCTCATTGGTTGACGCTTTCGCAACTCGGACACAGCCAGACGAGGTCTCTCGATCAGCCGCAGTGGCCCCGATTTGGCCCTATTGCCACCGTCATAGTAAGGAGAATGCTGCTTGGGGCTATTTGCGAAAGGATCCTTCAGAAAGAAGGTGTGTGTGCTGAACCATCGGCGAGCTCATGGCGTTTCTGAGCCTTTCCCTTCGCAAGTTGGGCCTTTGAATGCCTTGAAGCTGCGACTTCTTCAAGCATGGAAGGGTCTGAAGCTCGTTGTCCAGTAAAGGGGCCGGATTAAGTAGAACAACTTTTCAACAGGCTTTGGGTTGTATCCTCATACAGCGATCAGGCGACCGTAGGACGGAACATTCAGACCTCTATACATGGCACGACACCTTGCCCCACCACAAGGACACACTTTCAGGCTGAGCATCTCCTGAAGCCCTGAGCCCTTGAAGCCCCAACCCCCCTTTTTTTGCAGCAGAGGTCTGAGTGTCAGCCAGAGACTCCGCCCACCCTAAGCCCTAAACACGTCAGCCCCTAAACTGAAAGCCCCAAAGCGTCAAGTCCAAGGTTTCTTTCAACCCTGAACACTGAACATGGAGTTGGGGTTGCTAGAGCGGTCGGAATAACCGGCAATAGCATTCCCTTATGGTCCCGAACATACACACAAGTATAGTAAGCAACAGCCTGCAACCCCATTCCTCTAGAGTTCAGGGGGAGCCTGTTTAGGCCCATATTTCCCCGAGCCCGGATACCAAACCCACACCTTACCCCGAAAACCCTCATGCAGTAGAGCCCCTTAAGCCTTAATGCTCGACTGTGATAGATCACCCCCCATGACCCGTCACAAAACCTTTAAACCCCTACAACACCCAGGACCGCGTACATACTGAACCTGGGCCCCCTTTTTTCAGCACGAAAGCCCTCTTTCGGCTTTCAGGCTCAGACCAGAAGCTCCTTTGCAGCATTGGCCTCACAAAATTGGTTCTTTGGGGATTTCGGCCATTTCGGCTTAAGGGTTTAGGGCTTGAAAAGGGTTTTGAGGCTTCACGCTTTTTTAGGGGTCTACCTTTAGGGCTTCAGATTTCTGAGCTCGGAGCCGCGAGCAACAAAAACGCTGGGGAGATCCCAAGGCTCGAATAAACAACCAAGCCCCTCGTGCCTACTTGGATGCTCTTTGCACTTAAACCCTAAACCCTACATCCCTCAATCCTTAATTTCCTAAATCTTTACTCGCCTTGATCCCCAAACCTAAAACCCCCTATACACCCCAAACCCTACAAAGCAGGTCTTGTCCCTGGCCGGAGGCTCAGCCAGTGAAGGGTTGAGGGTAGAAGTTCCCAAGGCCAGGGGAGCCTTTTTGCGGGGCTTTATGGGGTTTGTAAGGTTTTGCGGTGGGGGGGTATAGTAGGGGTGTACAAGGGTTGCAACCGGCTCTGTGCGGGTCTTATAGGATTTTGAAAGATGGACCTTTATACAGGGCCTGTACGGTGTTGCTTCATCGGGATTGATAAGACCCCCAAATCACTCTATTGGGATTATGGACGGGGATTTTGCTACAACACTAAACAAGGAGTACTTTGGCGTAGTGGGTGTGCAGGCGATTCTAGAAAGTCCATGACCCGTTGTTGACGCTCTGACGCTGCGGGACTGGCACTGAGGTCTTACAGGCCCTACCTAGACCCCGACAACCTACTAGTATCATTTTCCGGAAACTCATCAGAAAATCAGTATAAGGAACCCCAAACATGTAGGTTTTGAGGCCCGAGAAACATGAACAGTTTTTTCAACAAGAACCTGACTCACCCTCCAGTCTTCTCCAGCGACATGCTTTGCTGCCTCACCCTGCTTCCTGCCGTCTACACTGCAGGAAGAGAAGCGGCCCCAGAGTTGAGAGTTTAGGGCCTCTCCGTGGGGAAGGCATGTCTCAAACAGTTCTATTCACACAATCCCCTGTTACAGCCTTCTAATTTCAAACTCACATGTCAAAACTTGGAGGTTGCTTAGGTGCGAACACCAAAAACTTGAGAAAACAACACAAATGTCTCGGGAGCCTATCGATAAGCATGGCAGAAGAAGCTTGTGAGGTGCTAGTGGCGGCCTGTGTGCTCAACACCATCCCGGCTGCCCGCACCTGCTTTGGATGTGGGCCGTGGGATGAACTCTTGGAGCTGTTGTTGGGTCGAATATGGTCATACGCCTGGCGGTTCGTAGTACCGGTGCCAATATGCTGAGGAACGCGCAGTTGCTACTGCTCTGGTGCAGAGACTGAGGCCCAGGCTCTACTGAGGCAACTGTTTAGCTCTAGCTGCCGTTTTCTGGAGGTCTCGTCTTATGAAAACATGAGATGGTGGAGCCTTGAGGGCAGAGGGAAACCCGTGTTTGGTGGATGTCCACAAATTCGGCGAGACGGGGCAGAGCAATCCAAAACCCCTGGACTGAAGCCTCAGGAGAAAGGAGTCTGCGTTAAGGACCTCGGCCACCACATGCTCAGGTCAGGCATAGCATGCTCGAGTTCGAAGCCATGTTGACAAGGGCTCAGGGTCGTCATCGTCGCATCGCAAGCTCAACATGACCCACATTCACTGACTGACACTGCTCTGCACAGGGGTGCGTCAAGATACCCAACCAGCCTGCCGGCAGCGCCCTTAGGTCTATCTAAGGTCTTGTGAGCCGAACGCTTCCTCCATATTCTGAGACCGAATATGGGTGCCTGGACCATGAGGCAATGAGGAGATGTTGCGGAACGCTCCACGTCCCCAAAGCAGCTTAAAGTGCTCCAAATACCCACCAAGCCTACATTGCTTTGGCAGAATGAAAATCCCTGTAAAAACCCTGTCCAAAAGCACCAGCCCATCATAGAAAGAACCCAAGGAAGACCCCAACGCCGGCAGACGACAGGGCAGCCTGCTCAGCCATATCGAGGACGTGTACCTCCCAAGGAACTAGGAAATGATGCCTAAATGCATCCATAAGGCCGTTGTAGACCTACTGAGACAGTACTCAATACTCCCCCCGTGTGTTTAAATTTTACTATGAATGAAGAATGAAAAAGCACTCGCAAAGAACATAAAAAATAAATTGTCTTGGCAGGAGATTGGGCTTCCGCTTACAAGGTAGCTCTTCGGTGTGGAGCACGCAAGAGAAGGAGCTAAGAAGTTCCTTGGTTGTTCTGCGAATAACCTCATAAATGCTTTGCTCATTCTCGGCCGTTCCCTGCCGCATGATTTTCCCATGTATCCGCGAAACCATCATTGGGACAAAGCCCTTAGAAAGGACTCTGGAAAATCGATGCCAGAGCCCTGCCCGAAAACCATTGCTGGCTATTTATCTGTTGTTCTAACTTTTTTTGCTGCTTTGTAGCTTCTTCTAGACTCCCGTAGCTTGCTAATCGACTTCTGGAAAACCCTTGCTTAATTGCAGCTGCTTCACCTCGAGTCCAAAGCAAATTGCAATTACATGAGCCACTTAAGAACTGATAATGTGTCGAGCCAGAGAGAGAAACATTGGTCCAAAAATTCACACGATGTGACCAGGAAAACCTTAGCTTTTCGCAGCTTCTCCAGTTTTCTGCAGAAAGCCTCGGTAAGGCAGGGTTCTCCTAGAATGCCAAACAGACACCCTTTAAAGGGAAACCCACTCCCCCACGATGACAGTAAGCCATCAACCGCAGGCCGACGGGCTTTCCAACGACAGGTCGACTAATGATGGGGCCTCCATAATTAGACCAACAAAGTGTTGTGGCACATGTTAGTAATCGTTGCAAACAAGGCTCGAAGAGCAAGTTCTAGTCTTGAACATCTGGAATCAGGGCCGAAAACCCGAACACGTTTTCGGCGGATGTTCAAGTTTAGGGTCCAGGGCTTTGTAGAAAGGCGGGAGTTGGAGTGTATTATATCACCGCTAAGCTGCTTCACTTCTTACACCTGCTTCGTTTAAGTTTCTTCGTGGCGTCTTGAGGCTATGACTTGCATTGCTGCCAAGCCTTGAAGTCATCATAGGTGCAGAACCGCTCCTCCAGTGCTTGACTTGGTTCGTTGGCATTCTGGTCACGGTTTGTGGAGACAAACATAGCCACTGTGAACATCGTCACCCTTCGCACTACAACACAAATTAACAGCACTAACAACGGCTGATCACCGGAGGAATTGTGTGGAACACCGCATGATGACAGTTTAGCACCAACAGCAGCACGACCGTGTCATCAGGATCGTCGTGGTAGTCGATGCCGAGACACCGGCAAGGCGCAACAGGGGCACCATCTGTCAACCATCGAAAACGACGACAGCATCAGCAGCAACAACCATGACAACAACAAGATGGTGCGTAGAAGCAGGCATATTAAGAGCAGAAGCACTGTCGCTGCTGCTATACTGCTAGACAGCGGCCATTACTACTTCTACGGCGACAACCACTTCCGCTCCACCGCTACCATCACTATACTTGCAGTATCACTACCCCTACCACCACTGCGAGCACGGGCGCGGACCCCGCACTACGAGTAGAGTAGAGTACAGTAGAGTAGAGT